ACTCGCCGCGGCTGGATGGTGAAATCAGAGGCGAGTTGCCAGAAGATTGATGAACTCGTGTCAGAAATGTCAGATATCCGTTATTTATTTTAATTTGCAGAGGCCGGCAACGGCTCGTCAAGAGGACAACACGAAAAGAACATGTGTATGAATATTAGACAAAAAGTGCTGCGCATGCGGACGACTGACGCACGTGTGTGCGAATGTGGTTAAGGGAACGAAGAAGGGGTGCCTTTCAAACGCTCGCGCTCCGCTTTTAATTGAACAACGTGCGTTTCACCCGATGCTATTTTCTGCCGAATGGGGTTGTTTATGAGGATACAACGGCGCGTGCGCTTCATCCCAACAAGAGCCTCTTGTAAACTGTCACAATGTTGATGTATTGCAACATGAAAAATGCTTTTGTTGTCCTGTCATTTTGGGTCGATGTTTTTCGTTTAACGAAACAAAAACAATAAAAAACAAGATAAATGAACTAGCGCTGTAAATCAAAATTTGTCGTGAAAAGCATTCAACCGGGTCAGATGAGTGCGTCAGAGTTGCGGCTCACTGATCACAGTGCCCATCACGAGGTTCGTAAAAACTGGTATGGATACGAAAGGGTGAGCAAAACCTATGGTCTCCTGGGCAGACCTTGTGCTACTCCACATGACTACAACTTGAGAGCAAATGACTATTTTCATCTCACAAACCATCGACTCCACACTCCTCAGCATACGACGAGTACATATTAACATTGCCATTCCAATTACGGCACTATTAAAGTCAAGAATATACAGGTCCAAGGTTTGGCGTAGCCCCGAACAATATCCAATTAAATTGACTCTTTGGCTTTTCTGATTTGCCATGTCGTTTGGCAAGTAAAAGAATAATGCCCTCCCTGCATTTTTCGATATTTTTCATGAATCGATTGTCATCATTAATTGAATATTGGGGAGAAACTAAAATTAAGAATTAACCGGCTGAATGATATACGCTATGTTAGTACAAAAAGTTTTTCCGTTGTCAAAGGAAGTTTTTCTTAATACCCTCCGCCATGGAAAGAAGGGTATATTAAAATTATCATTCCGTTTGTAACACCTCTAAAAATTTGTCATGATCAGCATTAAATTCTCGAAGTCGATTTAACTATGTGCATCTGTCTGTCCGCATGTCTGTTGAAATCATGATACAGCCCACAATATTTAAGCTAGCTTAACATTTTGGTACAGTAGTTTGTATTGGGTCTGGGATGGTTGGTATTGGTTCACGTTTTGAAATGGCCCCCATATAAGGGGACCTCCCGATATTCGGCAATTTTATTAATTTTACCACATTTTCGCACAGGTTTGTCTTATACATTGTAGTTGTTGTTTGTAATGGGCTCCAGCTTCTGTGACAGAACATTGGTTATATAGGTCCCATTTTAGTATAGCCCCCATATAATGGTGATGGTTTTAATCACTTTTTCCCTCGCATTTGTCTTAAAATTCGTATTTATAATTCGTTATGGATACTAGTTCCGGTAGCGGACCATTGTATATATATAGGCCCACGTTTTCGTAATGCCCCTGTATAAGGGAACCTCCCGATATTCGGTATTTTGATGGTTTTATCCACATTGTCGACGGATTTCTAATACAACGGCTCGGTGTTTGATATGTAGACCAATATTCGGTATTTTGATAGTCGTAGTCACATTTACCCACGTAAATATGTCAAATTTGGTATTTGGCTTTTAGAAATGTTAACTATTTGTACTAAAGACTCGAGCTATTTCATTGGTGATGAGATATCGATTGAGACGTTACGATGTTATTAACAAAAGGTGAAGAAAAAAACACAAGTGATACATGAAATAGGAGAAAATAAGAAACTGCCGAACTAGATTGGTGGATTGGCAACAAAAACCAACGGCAACTGGACGACTGATTGAGTTCCATTGAAAACACCCTCGAAGCATAAAAATAAATACAGCTACGAACTTCAGCATTAAACGATCGGTGACTTAACTAAACAATCAAAAGCGATTCGGGGAATATGTAATAGCTTGGCATTATACTATTTGGAGTAGGTCTGAATGCCGGCTCTGTGCACTCAGCATCCTTGGAATTGAAATTTGGATGAGACCGATGAATTATTGCAATCATTGGCATCTAACTTTTTTCTGGGATGGTTACCATGGAGCATGTATGATGCCGACAGTTTCCACGCAGGTTTCCGACATATATTTTAAAACTCTGACTGCCGCCAATTATTCATAGTTTTGGAATAGAATCAGAATTACACTCCATCATGATTGATGATGGATGAAACCGATGTTTTCGGGCTCAAGTTGAATTAAAAAAAAAATCTATTATCAATCATGTTCCTTTTGGCAGGCAACATCACCGCTTCCAGAGGCACCCTCAGCCCGTACAAAACGAAACAAACTATTTCACTTGTACAAACCAATGCAGACGAATTATCAACACTCTTTGTCAAACGAAGAAACATAAGGCCGATGCCATAAGTTTTATACTATCCAGTTTGCAGGCAAAGTGAGATGACGATATATTGGTTATAATCGGGGACAAAATATTCCAACAGAACTTTGAATCTGAGTTCCCATTTGTTTTTGATGGTACAAAACATGTGACATATTCTGGACGGATATAGAAAATTTTCTACCCTGCATTTACCTTTTGAGCACACAATGAAGGCCTGGGCTGCACTGTTTACCCTACGGATTACGACTTGTCATTCTAGTTTGCAACACATGATTAATGAACTGCTATGTTCGGATGTTAGCCTCAATAGGCAAGGTTCATCAGTATTGTCACAAACTTTAATTGCAAGAACCACCCCCTTGATAGATCGGACATATTTAAGGCTTGTCAACGAATGGTTTCGAGAAACTGAATGACTGATTTACGACAGAGTTAGTCGGACTTTTATTCCCACACTCTCATATATGGAGTAAAAGTCAAAGGTCCAAAACGTGTTTAGACCATAGCACCTAATGGAAATACAAGCTATTCTTCGGACTGTAAAATGTGGGAAATATTTCGGCGCACTTTACATGATGCCCGTAAGTGGATTGGCTCTTCGATTATGGATTATGATTTTCAATATGACAAAACCTAATACTTAGGCCAAGGTCGATGTTGGGCATTATGGCTTCGATTCCATGTTGATATTCACATCAGTATTTTTTCGGCCTGGAGCTATCTGATTGCTGCCCCAACTTCTGTTATCGTTAATTCTGTCGCTAAAAATGACAAATATGTTCTTACAAAATAACTTCCAAAAAATCTTATCATTAAAACCATAATTATTGACAAGTCCAAGTATAACAATCGAATGGAAGAGCTTTTTCTCCTTTTGCCAACATTCATGATTTTTCCAAACAAGATATTCTTGTGGGGAAAATAGCAGAAGAAAGGGGTACATGTTTTGGATAAACACAGATATATACCTCCGATTATCGACGATACGATATGCTGACATGCTTGAGCACTCCATGCAGCATCATTTACCTCCTTTGGGAAAACGCGGTTTAAAGTTTCTACGTCGAATTTCTGGGAGCTGACTTGTATCGATTTATTCCATATTCCATATTTGTATTCCATACAAAAACACTTTCGACAGTGAAGTACATGGAATAAACATGGTGGTCAATCATAAAAATTACTCTTCTCAAAGTCCAAAATTAATAACCCGATTTTCTTAATGTATTGTAAAATGTTTAAGCTATTAAGCTATTCCTTTAATCCCACAAGTTTCTCGTCTATAAGGAAACAAATTGAAATTGATCAGTTGTTGCAAAACTGACATAAACCTTTATCTCATACATGCTTCGCACAGCCTTAGACAAGGTACGTATATGTACAATTTTATCCTTTATCTTTCGGAATCGCTTCCCCACTGAACCCAAGATATTCCCAACAAGAAGAGATTGATTTGGAAAATAAACATATTCAAGAACACACCAGCGATACTAAAACAACAGATTTAACCATGGTACAATAAGGAGGTAGAACAGCTTCGTAAAACTACTGAAATACGGCCCTGAGGCTATGCCCGCTTCCTGTCAGAATTTTTCAAAATTATAGGCAACAAGTTGTTTTCATTTATTTGGTATTTTTTGTTCATTTCAAAAATGAGTCAAATAGCGCAAAAGATGAATGAAATGTCCGGAGGTTCTGTCAAAAATATGATTCTAAGTGTTCAATCTTTCAATTCCATGGCAAATCTGGTTAATGTTATTATTACGCGCCCCGCAATTTTAGTTTCTTTCAATCGTTGATTTTGAAAATGTTTTGTTTTTATTTTTCTTGATACAAACTTCCACTCTCCCGAAAATGACCATTAATACCGCCGGTGACTGAATGTAGATGTTCAAAAGCAACGCCGCGAAAATCGATCCGTTTGCATGGTCGATGAATGATCAGGGCGACACAAACGAATTTTGCTCGTTTCTAGCTGTGGATCAAGAAAGTCAGCACAACCGACATTCCGGTTGTTGAAATACTAGCACGACAAAGAGAGCAGGGTAAAGATCAATGTTTTGTTGGATCGGTTCACCCACCCGCTAGACATGAAAGCGAAACTATTCGAGAAACCAACTGAACCGTTGAGAGTTGTTATAGGAAGGTCGATACGAAGTTTCCATCAACGCAAGTATGTATATCAATATCCCACACCATGTTCCTACATAAACATTATGTATAATATATATTTGCAAAAATATTTCTAACAAGCATATCATTTAAATAACACGTCCCTCGTTATTGAAAACGATGAAAAGCTATTCACATCCTTCATTTGGCTTAGTGCCTCAGTTGCCGCACTCTTAGTCTGAGTCGGAGTTGACTTGAAATGGCATTGCAGAGCTTACTAAGCTTACTATTCGCTCAGCCAAATAAAAGACATTTACACGAATGAAAAACAAAATAGCATGCAGCGAGCGCGAGCGTAATCTAAGCTTAAGCGCCAGAATGGTGTATCGCTTGCCAACTTACAGTCGCGCCAACAAGCTATGCTTTTTGGGTTGATTGGGTCCCCAAAAAGTTCAGTTGTGATTTTGCCAGCTTCAATGACAGTTCACGTCGTCACGGCTCGTTAAATCTCCGGCTAAAGCAATTACAGAAAAAGACATACCAACAAAAGCAATTTAAATATATACAAAACACAAACTGACTCTCGGAAACAGCATTGGTCCCCGTGCGATCGTGAATAAGTAAAGTTCCCCAGCAAACAAGCGTTGAAAGTGCCAGTGTCCGCCTGAACCATGTATTGTGAAATCATTCACTCGGGATAGTTATCAAACATTCAAAACCTTCGAACTGCTTAAAATCTTCTGGAATACGAACTATTTTTTCTCCTGCAGTCCTAGTGACCCATAGCAGGGCAGTTGCCAAATGACTGTCGGGTAAGTTTCTCTGAGTCAACGGGCTCCGGACATTCGAAAATGACGAGTGTCGCAACATGTCGGGGGAGTGTGCGCATCATGAGAATAGAGCGCAATACTTAGAATATCTTTGCAACAGTCTGCAATATTATTATAGCCAAGTTATTGCTTTGGCAAAAGTGCACGCCATTACTCAATCGTTTTACATAGAGAGACAGTAGCTCAAAGCAACGACGAGTTGAAAGTGTTTTTATCAAACATCGATCCGACCATTTCGAAAAATTACATTGCCATGATGTATGTCAATTATCCGAACCTTGGCATCGCTTACTTTGTAAAATAGGACTATTCCAAACTGCCGCTGCACAATGGGAAAAGCACCGATTTAGCGCGAATAAAATACAGATTGATAACCCCGGTTAAGTGTTACTGCCAGAAATGTTTGAAAAGTGTGACAAAAAATATTCGCATTTAAGAGCTGCTAATATGGACCCACAAATATTTTCTTTCAACCGATTAGTTTATTTATCACTTCGTTAGTTCTAAATTAGAAAACATTCTTTCCAGATGGGCAGACAACAGCCCATGCCGTTGTTGAAAAATTTTCTCCAAGTTGAGCCCGAATGATATTATTTTGAAATTTGGTAAAAATTGCAAAATTGGAAATTGTTTAAAGTGTTGCACATAAAGATACTGGATCTCAAATAGGTCGCAAACTGCAACTTTTGTCGCCCGCCCAACGCACAGAGGTCGCTGCCATTGGCCAAAATTCAAAAAATGAAAATCAGATATTTATTGTCAAATGTGTACACATGAACTCTTAAGAGGTTAAGCTTTTTAGAAAACATAATAATTTTGGCTTCGTTCTAACGGCCCACTTCGACAATAGCATCAAAAAAGAGAAAATATGGTTAGTTGCTTTTTCAGTGGGACCAGTGAAAAAGTGGAGTAAAAATAGATCTGTTTTACAAAATTAAATACATTTTAAAATGACAATTCTTGGCATAATTATAGAAAAGCAAGGTATTGACTTATTTTAAGTGCAGTAATTTGTGTGTTTAGTAGTTGTGTACAATATAGACGATGTGAGTGTTCTGAGTTGCCTTTAAGATTAATTTTGAAAATAAAATTGGATTTCAGTTAAAGTTTTAATTGTTTACCCCCCCCCCCCCTCCTGAGTCCTCCAATATAATTTTTTCACGCCATTAGTAAGGGTCCTAAGATTCTAGAAGTGCTTATTTAACTTTCAGATTTGTATGTTATGCCCTCGCTCCAATTTTGTCAGTTCGATGGTGCTAGTGACATAGTATATGTTTTTGTTGTTTGGGATTGATAAGGATATAATTGAGGGGTGTTCAATAATGTTGCCTGCATTATATTCTGGGTATACTATTAATGTCGAAAAATTTAGGGATTTGCACTGGAAACGGCTAAAGAGTTAACAAATAGATATCCAAGGCACTATCTTCCACCCGCAGCTCATAAAATTTTAATACATGCACCCGACGTTATAAATTTGTCATTGTATCGATTGGAGAATTATAGGGGGAGGCCGTGGATAAAGATATAAAAAAGTTTCGACTAAATCATACCCGAAAAAATTCTCGTGTTTCAACAAACACAGATCTTATTAACCGTCTTCTTCTGAACTCTGACCATTTTATAACGGGGCAGCGAACGTTACCAAACAATAAAAAATCTATATTAATAAAAGCTGCATTTGATTTACTTATATAACACTAAAATTTATAAATATCCATTAGTAACTTTGATTTAATTTTATATTGAATTGTTTATTTTGATAACAAAAAAATTATCTATTTTGTTTACAAATAATAATTTTGAAATTTGAAATAAACTTTGTATAAAAAATACTTCTATGTCTAAAGGTACCTTTACAGGGGACTCTACCTGAAGGCGGGCCGTTCCAAATAATTTTCAGTAAGACTATTTTTTAGCTCTTTAGAACGTAAAATGCCAAATAACAGAACAATCTAGTGTATAAATGTGACAGAAATTGGGCAAATTACCTTTATTCGTGAGGAACTTTGTAAAGGGACCATGCCAAAACATGCATCGACCATATCCGTTTTGTCAATTTTTTTTATTTTTATCCCATCAATGTACCATAACCAAAGATTCATATTGATATCTGCACTGAAAGTATTTTTGGCCGCTGTGCCCATACGACCTCGACCACTATGCAACGGTAACCCTGCTCAGGTTTTGGTTTTAAATGGTTTTAAATATGTTGTCGTAAGTGGTAGGATTTGGTAGGATTTTCGGAACTTCGTACTACAAAGGTACGGAAATTAATGTAAAGTGATGATGTGTACACTATTGTATGTTGGTTTGCTGTGCCAAATAAAAAGGGTCTTTGAAAACATTTTATTACAACAATACTACGATCACAATTAAGGTTTTGAGCGCTCGGGAGATTCGACATAGTTTACGAATTATAACACTTTTATTTCAGTTCTGTACATAGTTACTTCTTTGAAATATCTGCATTAAAATGGATAATTGTATGCGTCAATGGGAACGTTGAAACCAAAAAAAAAAAAAATTATTGAAAATGACCTATGAATGAACACTGGCGGAAACAAAATGGGATTCTCGTTAGAAGTTCCGTTTCTCGTTGGAAGTTCCGTTAGATAAACTGAACACTACATATTGTTTAATATTGTGACAATACTTTGTTTAATTTTGTTAGAGCATTGTTCATGCATGCGCCCTAGTTCGGGGTTTTCCCACTATGTACAGTTGGTTGTCTTTAACCCAGCAAGAGCATTGCCCCAGTGTGCATTGCTGGTACTCATCATCATCAGTTCAGTCCCAACTTCGATTATTTTGTTCTATTTTACGTGCCAGGAAGTATTTACATATCCATTTTCGATATTGTGTGAGCCACTGTATATGAATGTTGATTGGCATCAGCACCGAGTAGTACTATTATTATTGTTGTTATTGGCTTTAATCTATTGCAAATATGCTCCACGGTGAACGGCAGGCAAATCTGGGCGAAGGGGATTCCAACCGTCCCCCCCCCCCCTTGGCTTTTAAATTCTTGCTTGTGGCTCACAGTTGTAAGTGGTCAACTTTACCAATCGGACAATACTAGACAATACAAAAACACCAACACCAAAGGTCAGAAGATGATTTGCTGATTCGGTTCGGTTTGTTTTGTTTTCATGTGGCGTTTGATTATTGCTTTTAAAGTGCAAGTGGCAAGATGATTAAATCGGAGTGGGGGGTTAAACCGCTTCAGTGTCACAACGACCATTGTGGCTGCTGTTGGTCGTGTGAAGACAAGAGCCTATTTGGGTTTCCATTGATGCGTTGTCAATGGCTTCTGTTGACGAACTATTAGTCACATCTTGCTCAGGCATTTGCGAACATCTGTGCACCAACCTGATGCTGTTAACTCCTCATTTTCTTGGAGAGTGTCATAACTCATTTGAAGAAGTCACTTCTCAAGTAATTTTACAGAACCTTACTCCACGCCATGCTTCAGCATTGTGCGTTGATTTTAGGCTTGCATTGGTTGACATAACTCAACTCAACTTAGCCAATTATTGCTTCGACTCACTTGGCATACCATGTGGCGAAATAAATGATGTATCACACGATATTTAGTACAGAGTATTAATTGTGAATAAACTTGAAAAGGAAAACTGTGACACATCGAGTGCTGAATGCGTTTATGCTTCAAATGTTGATATTTTCTAGGACAGAGACAGAGACTAATTTCAACAAATTAAGGAGAGGTGTTCTTCTTGGGTCTTCATTAAAATAGTGATCACAAACGAAGCAGCAAATATTTTACTCAAACCACGAGCGGCAATACAGCGAATTTTTGTTTAAAACAAGCCTACAAATAAACCCAAGCCTGGGAATCTGACATTAAAGGCCAAAATACCAACATCCGAAAAAGAAAAACAGAAACAGAAACGAAGCAGACACTCAAAAAGCCAACTCCGACCATTGGTAACAAGAAAACTCCATTCGTGCAAAAAGAAATCCAGCAGAAAGACCAAACGGTCCACAGCTCAGATCTTAGACAAAAAGCTGCAGCAGCAACAGATGACGCTTATGTAATCAATCCAGGCACTTTACCACAGCCAATACAGCAATCCACTTAAACCAAAAATTGCTTGAGCTATCTGGCGACAACATATACCACACTGATATTCCAGCGATACAGAGGCAGCTGGTAGAGTACCCGACAAGCACGTCCAGCATCGCTTGGTCATAACGAATGGAGAGAGGAAATCTCACCGAAGCGGACAGCGGCAATTGCATCGGCTCACAGGCGGCAGTGGCAACAGGCAACAATGTCAATCAATGCATGACCACGCTTGCTGCACAGCAACAGCACGAGATCAACCTACTGAGCGGCCGTTCGTTGGGTCTACGACGCCAACCCACCAAATATCCACACGGGGTGGCCGTTTGTGTGCAGCCCATCAGCGATGGGGCACATCACCATAATCATCGTTCTGCAGATTATTCGCGCGCGTCTACGTTGCGAAGCTCAAGTTGGGATGGCAAAGTAGACGGGAAATGTCATTTGGATGGGAGTAAGGGGCAGCAGCAACAACAGACACACAAGTGCCAGATGGGGGGAATGTTTAACAGACCCGTCGAGAATCTGGCCGAATTACAGGTGCGCCGCCACAAATACCCCCTCACCGGCAATTACTACCTAGACTCGCCAGAAGCGGCAGCCAAGACATCTTTGATGACTCTTCAGTTTGGAAAGCGACTCTGCAAATGGCAGTACTTGCGATGGCCTTTGATATTTGCAGCCAGTGTGTTGGTATTCTTCGGTTTGATAACCTACAGCATTTGGCTACATGACATCAGTGTGGCCAGGGAGCGGTACTTGCAGCAGAAGAAACAGAGCTACGACGATGATGCGATGCAATCAAATGGAGTAGCAAATACACAGCCCACGGAAGGCAGCACGGTGCGGGCGGCAGTAACGGAAAGTGCTCAAGTGATTAGAGAGTCTACGCTGTTGCGCACACTGAGCTCGAGATCGCGCCAAAGACCTAGAGAACAGAAGTTGTCAACCGTTGAGTACGGACACTCCAAGGCGGCCAACGCATGGGATAAACAACGCAAAGACTCCCCTCAAGATTCTACGACAATCGCTGACGAAACCACAACGATGATTTCGGAAGCGGCGGCTTTTGTGCCTGCAAATGTCTTCCGTTTTACATCTGGCCACCAAAATAGTTTTGGCGTTCCCATTGAGGAGGACGAGCGGATTCTCCGGCTAATCGATGGAGTAAGCATGTTCAGCAGCTGATCCGCATTGTATTTATCTATTGATATTTTCCGTCATCTATATTTACAGCTTTTCCCCGGGCATGCCCCATCCCCGACTACAACTGCCACTGTTGATTCCATTGCCAAAGTATCTCCCACAATCCCTCCAGTGACACATAACAAACCCACCGCTCCAATGATGTCGGCTAGCAGCAAGCCGACAAACACGCAGGATAGCCGCTGCTACTCAACTTCACTGGCAATGTGTCAGGGTGTCCTGGAATACGACTTGACCTATAACATTTCAGCACACATCACGACCACGGACCTCAAGGACTACCAGTTGATGGTAAACTCGAATTGTTCCGCCCGATCGGCTGAGTTCATTTGCGCCGTTTTCGAGCCCGAATGCAGACCCAGCCATATTGGTATTCTTCCACCCTGCAGGAGGATATGCAAAGGTAAGATTTGAATTAAAAAATGGAAAAGCCAACCTCGAACTAACGTCTAGACCTCCAGTGCTCAGGATGTCACACTAAGTCTTAATCTGGTACAATTTCATTTCCATCATTTCATTTAGCAATTCGCGAAGCCTGCTCCGAAATAATTGCAAACTCAGATTCACTGACGGAAACATTCGATTGCAGTCTGTACCCAGATTCGAGCGACCCTCAACGTTGCGACGATCCGACCCGGAGGAAGGGTTATTGCTATGACAACGAATTCGAATGTTATGACAGCTCTTGCATTCCCAGGCAATGGCAGTGCGACAACATAAAAGACTGCCCGGCTGGCGAGGACGAGGACAGCTGTCTGACATGCGACCAGCCAGACGAATTCCGTTGTCGCTCTAATGAAAAATGTGTGCCTGATGAATCGCGCTGTGATATGAAGTACGACTGTTTCGATGGTTCCGACGAGGAAAATTGTAGTTCCCAGGACAATGAAGACGATTCTCGATTCGACGCGGACGATATCAATGCTTTCCCTCGACTATTTTCCTATGCCGCCATTTTCCTGCCCAATCAGACCAGCGACAGCCTGTACACGTACATAACAACCACGACAGAAGATCTGAATACACCCAACCCGCTTCAATGGCAGATTGCGAACAATCGTTCTCTTGGGGTGTCGAAAGAAGATGTCACGAATGCTGTTCCATCGGAGAGACTGAAGGGTTTTGGTGAGTATGAACACGGTATTAGAGTTCACTAGTTCCTTCAAATGTTCGCCCATAGCCAATTTTCGCGATAGCAAAGAAATCATGATGACCAGTGATTCCGAAAACAACTTTGAAATATCAGCCACACGCGGAAACCGTTCAACGGGCACGACACCTTTACAACCAGCAGCTTCGATTCTGGTAGCGGTCAGTACCGAACCGCCGCAAGAAAAGGTAGTTGCAGCAGTGTGCGCACCCCACGAACTTCGTTGCGTGAGTGGGAAGTGCATAACGGTGAATCAACTCTGTGATAGGGTAAGTCATACACCGGGTCAGCCACAGGCACAACTATACACAAAACTATATATTTTCCCATACCTTTTTAGTATTAAAAGTGAGATTCGCTCTGAGAGGAATACTTTGCCCAAAAATGTCAAAAATAGATTGCAGTGCTTCAAATTTTGCAAGCCCACATTCGAAGAGCACGAGACCGGCTGATCGGCGTATCCGAAAAGTGTAATGCATTAGATTAGCTAATACGAGTATTAGCAGAAGAATAAATGGGACTATTTGAAGACATACATTTTAAAATATCGTACGTTGTCTGCAGATGAGCGCTTTAGAGGAAAAAGCTTGTTCGTTTGTCGATAATGTTTACTAACAATAAGCAAAATTTCCGTCTTCATCGCAGTGTCGGCTGCGATCTCCACAAGTCCTCCTGGTTTTCTTTAACCTTTTCTCGGTATAAGCTTCCCAGGGCATAAACCAAAAACATGTTTGTTTCGAAGTGCTAATCGTAGACGGTCCCTTTGTTCTTTTAAGGGGTCTAAATGGTTAGTAAAACCATCTTTGTTCGTCTCCCTTTCCAACAGATAATTTTCGATCAACGTTAATCGACTTCGAAAATAATTTGGTTATTTTTACATTATTTGCTTAGATTATTGGTTCGGCCGGATCAAACGCTTCCCCTTCAAATATATTCAATTTCATGGAGACCAACAAAGCTTAAAACGTTTTGCAAGAAATATGATGTATACTTTTGACTCGAATAACCAAATTAAATGAGGGTAATGGCATAATGGGACATTAACTGCCCAGCCCGTTGCATTACAATATCTTGTGTTTGAATTTCTAAGGAAGCAGGCTTTTAGGAAGAACCTTTCATAGTTTCGTCTCAAAAACTATTCTTCCCATAAATATATGTCGTTGAAAAGATGAAGTAATCACTCCTATCCAATCCCGAAATCTATAATTCGATGTCTATTTTTCCTTCCAGATAAACGATTGTCCCGATGGATTTGACGAGTTGATGTGCGTCTACAAGGACCGTACCACAACAGCGCGGAGTCGAGGAACAACCATTCTTCCCAACCCATTCACAACGTCTGTGGCCATTAATTCAACCCGATCTGACAAAAGAACGATCAGAACCACCATCAAACGAAAAGTCAAAGTGTAAATAGTTGTCGAAAGGACCTCCTGGTAGGACTTCACTTGATTGATTGCTAATAAACATGTTCATACCGTGGTTTGAATTCGCCTTTGTTTAGCTTTAATTGCTGTGTGCATACACTAAGGAATTATATGTAGCCGGAGCATTGTGATTGGGCATTGCCATTGGAACTACTTCATGACATGTTTACTACTTTCTTTATACCTACAAAGCCACCTAAGTAATAGAGGAAAGTAAATCGACAACTGGATGTTGATGAGCTATGTGAGACGTTTGTCCTTTAACAGAAAACTTGGATTTTTAGAGTAGGTTTCTATCGAAAAGCCCTCTTGCGTATATACCAATATTATGAGCCCCAACTCAATTGACGTGAAAATCCACCATCTGTGTAGGGTAGGTTTTCATGATTCGAAACACGGTAGACTCAATCAGTCTGGCATTTGTTATTACAAAACCATGTCAATGCAGTAGAATGGGCAGATCCACCTAACAACTTGTGATACTTCCACGAGTACCTCAAAAGTCATTCCCCTCATCGAGAACCTGTTTGATGTTGACAATAAAAATATCTTATTTTGTAATCGTTATCTTTAAATGGACGATATGCCTCAAATGCCTCAAAAATTATACTTCGGCCACAAACAATACAACTTTGTGTACCAACTCTTTGCACAACTTCACTTTTCGTAGAGTTAATCTGAGTTAAGATGACTCCGGAAATAATTTCATGCTCTTTAATTGGCTCAATAGCTTTTATTTATTGTCAATGTTTAAAATTCCATTTTATAATGATGTACTACCAGTTGTATTGTTTGTGGCCAGTTGTATAACGTATGACTTATCGATGAGCTAAACATTTATGTATGCCCATGGCATTCCACTGTACTGGCACCGATGCCTATTATTATTTAGACATAAAATAATTCTTTTGCTGTTTGAGGGTAACCATTCGAAGATTTGAACTACTGTAGCGCCCAATGCAACGAGCAGACCGAAAACAACCACTTCAAAACCACCCCAATACATTAACAAAAGATTTTTCGTTCGAATTGTACATTTTTTCACCCAAAAGGGAAAGCAAAACCCCTCCGATTAGTCCTTTGTTCCTTTTGCAGAGTTGCCGATTTAATTTGTCAATTTTCCGCTAAAATACTTCGCTTAGTTGAATTTTGATTGATTCTAAATTGTCGGTGACAGCTGCAATCGGCTGCTATCTAAGCGCATTAACGCTTTAGTGAAATCAGATTAAATACTAACTGTGCCCGACCAAAACTGCAAATTCTCATGTGAAACCAATTTATTGCGGCAAAGGGGGCCGAAACTATTTGTCAAGGAATCTCTTCATAGCTGGCGGCAAAAAAGTGAAACAATTGTGCATGGAAAACAACCAAAATCAACCAAACTACAACAGCCACGTAATGTCGGCAACGCGATTGGCATGCATATGAACGCTATCTCGCCTGTCTTGAGAAAAAACAGACAAGCCAACACTATTTCAGAAGCTGCCCAATATAGCCACCAAAATCGGTATCACACGTGAATTGAGCGACCTTCACTTACGGTATTCAGTTGCAAAAATTTACAGTAATGCAGCAGCGGCATAGCGTTACAATTGCCAGCGTTTCTGCCATTATTTTAATTTATTAATTTCGAAATGCGAATATTAATTCGTTGTGCTGCCGGTTGGTATTGCGCATGCGTATTTGTGGAAAACTTGGAAAATGAACAGTGGCTTACCACTAACATAGATACGTAAGCAAAATAAAAATGTTATAGATTTGAGGGGAAATAATATTACACAGATCTCTCAACGTGACTAAGGGGCCGGGTGATGGTACCACTTACCTAGTCATGTTTGAAGAGCATTTCCCCTTTGCAGGGTATAAGCTACGTAAATGCTATGCTCAGAATAGCGAAGATAAGACTAAGAAAATGAGGTCTTAATGGCCGAACTTTTTGTCGTTTTCTGGAAGCCACAACTCGTTTAGACATTTTGATGGAACTCACCGCCGTCCAAAGAGTGGATGCTTATCTTTGAAATTCCTCTGGAATTTTCTACAAGAATTGAGGAGTAGTCTCGAATCATTGCAATTTCACATTTTCTTACCCTGAAAAGTTATAATGACAGTGTTCGAAAAAGTATATAATTCGCATGGTACAATAAAAAGGTAAGGTAGAGATATCAGCTGATTACAATTTTTTTCTAAGTGTGCCCGACTTCTGCTAATTTTGTGTGTGTATTATTGTTTTGAAAAATGAAAACAAAATATTTCCAAAACCAATGAATGGAAGACACGTACATCGCGGCTCACGTATTAAAGCTATTAACCAGTTTATCCGTGAAATTGAAAGATGGAACAGTTTGGATCATATTTTTGAAAAAAAAAATTCAAACATTTCATTCATTTTTCGCGCTATTGGTTTCATTAAAATATGAGGGAAAGTATGAAAAAAATGAAAAGAATTTGTTTCATAAAATTTTGAATAAGTCTGGCAGAAGGCGGGTGTAGCCTCAGGGCTGTATTTCTGTAGTTTTACGAAGCTGTTCTACCTCCTTATTGTACCATGATAATTCTCTCCAAGCCATTATAAACATAGGTGTTTAATTATACTCGGAATTTCTTAACATTTAAAGTTTTTTTTTTTTTTTTTTTTTTGTTTTGACTTTAATGTTTTTTTTATTGTGTATCCGACGAGTGTTTGGAGTCCCACGTTTAGAATGATGCGAGTTATGTAATTTTATACATTCAGCCATATGGCTACAAAGGGTATATATAGGTTGATACGGCCAAAACGTGACTAATCGAAATAATGGTTTTAGACCCTAGGTCTCTTTGAAACAAATCCGTTTCAGGACATTTGAAGTCGATCTAGCGTGGAAGGAGAAAGGATAATCCGGCAACTCCATCAAGTACCTCCCTCACAAACGGACAAAATTTGGAATAATTATAACTCTTATTATCTTCAAATTACACACATCACAATATTTTTATTAATCCACGGTCTAGTGTAAAGATGAAATATATCGGTCAACTCCTTCTGGTCATAAAACGGAAAAATAATGTCCGATTTCATTCAGACTTGATACATTAAATATTTCCATCAATACAAGATATGTTATAATGATGGTAGGGATCGCACCATTTCTTCTGGTACCACTTTGAATAATCAATAGTCAAGGCTAGGATTATACATCTGACGGCAAAAGCGACTTACTTATTATTGTCCTATTCATTTCGAACTTATCCAATCTTAAGGTTGTTTCTTATCCTATTTAAATTCAAATTCGTTGATATTTCGGGCTATGAATACTAATTCGCTTCATGGTTTGGATGCTTCTTTTTGGGTTGCTCGTTTCCATGAACAGACGGACGGTGATTCAGGATGTGATTCTATGAAGATCATCCTTATGCACCTTACAAACAAACGCACAAAGACATAATACCCTGTACCACAGTGTGGCGTATGGTATAAAAATGCACCGAAACCATAGAAATCCTCATATGCAGTAGACAAATTCGTATATATGGGGTATGACATGATCGGATTTGATATTCATCCAATTTTCATTGAAAATTGTAATAATAAGTGATGACCCCTAGATAGGTCCGAACATGGCAAATAATCGACGCGCGGCTGCTTATACACCGGACGGGAAATAGTTGTACAATAGTAATCAACTGATATCAGCGGTGTAATACGAACTTGGCTTAACATGGACTCATAAATCATTCGCCTGGCACTTTTAGCTGAAATTTACATCCTCAAAAGCGACGCAAACGGGTTTATGCTTTAGCGTGATTTATTTCATAAAAGGAACTTTCGCTGTGGACTCGTGCCACTTCCCTTGACAACACCGTTTTACGGCACATTAATGACCACGATGGAGGTAGCAAGGCCACTTCTGGAATCACACTGGAACTGGTTTATTTACAGTACTTTCGTTAGTGGAATCGTTTGTTCGTCTCTTCCAGAAGTTTTGACATCTAGCAAGGACTTGCTTGCAATGTTTATGTCGCTGATGACGGTGACACCAAAAGTATCTAACGAAACAGACGTCCAACCAGCCAGGCAGGAAACAAACCCCTCGAGTGAACACGATCACTACAACTCCCCACCCCCAAAGAGTGTGAGCTGGGAAGGGGTAGGAATGAAGCAGAAAAATGAAATAAACGAGCACAACTGTCATAATCAATTAATTGGAACCATAAATCTGAGCTGTACACACCAAATCCAAGATTACGACTTGCGCGCACATAAATCGACTCGTTGGTGCGACCGCGAGGGTAGGTGTTGTGTGTGTGCGAGTGACATTCTATCGTTTGCAAATGTGGCACTGTGTTTCTTGCTCCTCCTTCCTCACACTCCTTCCCCAGACATGACGTTATTAATTATTCGAAAAAAAAACTATTTTTTATGTAAATTTTTATTAAAAAAAAAGGTAACCCACAGACACGGAATGAAAAAAAATAAAAAAATGTGTGTGTTTTTTTGTCAGGTTCGGTACAGGGCAGCGAAAAGAAATGTAACAATTATGTTTGATTTCAACCCGTTCGTAAATTCATCCCATACTCCCTGTGGCTGAATGTAAATCGCTACACAAAATTAGATGCACGCCCTTCGGTCTTCACGAGCATTATTGTAAATTATTATAAATGAATAAAATTAAATTTCAAAAACACAAAAAGGAGATTTTTATTTATTTATTTTATTTTTTGTGGCAAGTTTTGGGGTAATATTTGAGGATAGGTGAAGTATTTATGACTCAAAATAAGCAATGCTCATTGCGTCGGAACAGCTGTCTTTTATGACGCGTGCTAATTACACTTAACGGCGAGTGTTTGTACTGTAAATTGGAAATTCGGTTGATCGGGGTGACAAACGCCGTCTTCGCGCATCACGCACTTCAAGTTTTTGTGATTTAGGACAGAAAACACTGCAATCAAATTATAAAACAACGTTTACTGAAATGCATTGCATTAGGGACTGTAATATATTACAATTCGTTTGTATTCGAGGATCACATTGTAAATGTCTAATATATGTTTCCTGAACATTAGCATTTAAGTAGGATTGATATTGGATATAAAGAGTTTCAAGGTAATAAACGAATAAAATATTAGTAACTCATTTAGGAAAATAATAACAACTTATAGTGCATTACAAACAAATACAATATGACTATCAGACGGAATGTGTTTTACATGGTTAGAGATTTTGATTACAAATCTAATATATTTTTGATAGTTGAGCCGGTAACGCGGTCCGGGCCATAGTTTTAGTGTCTAATTCATATTTTTAAGGATATGTTAATCTACAAAACTATCTCATATCGGTTGTAACCTTATGAGAAAGCTTAAATTCCGATTCATCTTCATCGATTTGATTTTATTCACTCCTTCAATCGGAATGAAAAAAAATAAAATAAAAATAAACAAGTAAAAAAGATGTAAGTTTGGCCGGGCCGAACTTTGAATACCCTCCACCATTTGGTACAAATTTGGCAATTTTCAAAAAAATAAAATTCCTTAAAAATTTTGTTAAAATCTTAAAAATACCGAATTTAGCCGTATATTAGGGTTTATACGACGACGTGGGCTTGCATAGGCAACTTTTGTCATAAGCTATTAAAATATTGAAATGCGAAACTTGAAAAAAAAAATCTGTTTATAATGTATCTAAAACCATCAAAATACCGAATATTAGGACCTACCACTGCACATACAATTTTCTGGCAGAAGCTGTAGCATCTATTATGACCCTCAAATACCAAAATTTAAGCAATTCCGGTAAATAATGTCGCTAAAATCATCAAAATACCGAATATCGGGGGGTCCGTTATATGGGGGCTATACAAAGACGTGGACCTGCACAGACAATTTTCTGTCATAGGCTGTAGTATCCATTACGAACTTCAAATACCAAATTTGAAACAATTTCGGTTCCAGTTCCTCTGCCACAAATAAATACTTAGAGTTGGAGAGATAGTCAACATAATTTTTATACTAGTTTTCAAATCGATTTCTTCGTTTAATTTTGGAAAACATAAAGATTTAGATACATCGGAGAAGTGGGTGTGGTCAATTTTTCTTTCCATCATTTTATTAAAATTATCTGAATTTGTCTAGTCGTTCTTAGCTGATTAACTTACCAACGTACGATAAATGATTTTGTTACTGCAATTTTTTTTATTTTTCACAGAAACAACCAAGACTTTTAATTAAATTATATTTTCCGATGAAAATAAAGCAGGCTGTAATCGAACGAGTAAATTTGGGATTATCTCTACAAATGGAACGTATGTTGAAGCGCATGCAACTCGGGAACTATTGTATGCGTCAGGTTGGGAGGTACCGTTATATAGTGGCTATACGAAGACGTGGACCTGCATACAAAAATGTTTCTCATAGGATGTAGTACCCATTACGTACTTCAAATACGAAATTTGAAATGATTCCAGTAAATAATGTCGCTAAAATCATGAAAATGCCGAAACTATGCTGTGTGCAAAATTTTAGCCTTTTATCCCATTCGTTCGAAAGATTGCGTGATTACAACAGACAGGAGGACAGACGGAGAGATCATCTTAGAATTTTACGCTGAATATTTCTGAATAAATGAATATTTCGAGGAATTACAAACGGAATGACAAAGTTAGTTAACCCTCCATAGAATGGTGGAGGGTATAAAACACTATGTATATAAGTATTATATCATCTATTATGAAGTTTACTGAAGTAAATAGCGAACAACAATCCAGAATATATAGTACAT